ACGTAGGCTGGAAAACACCTTTAAGATCATTGAGCCCAGCATTAACCCAAGTCCACCACTAAACTATATCCCTCAGTACCACATCGACACATGTCTTCAATACCCCCAAGGACGGTGACTCAGCCACTTCCCTGGGGAGCCCCTACCAATACTCAACAACCCCTTTGGTGAAAAGATTTTTCATCCCATCCAATCTAAATCTCCCCTGATGCAAGCTGAGGCCATTTTCTCTTGTCCTGTAATTTGTTACCTGGGAGAAGAGGCCGACCCCCACTTGGCTAAAACCTCCTTTCAGGTAGTTCTACAGAGTAACAAGATCCCCCCTGAATCTCCTTTTCTCCAGGTTAAACAACCCCACTTCCCTCAGCCACTCCTCACAGGACTTATTCTTCAGCCCCTTCACAGCTTTGCTGCGCTTCTCTGGACGTGCTCCAGCTCTAGTTTTGAGGCCAGTGAAGGGCTCAAAACAGACTCAAGGTGTGGCTTCACCAGTCCAAGTACAAGGGTATGATCACTGCTCTGGTCCTGCTGGCCACACTCTGTCTGATACAAGCCAGGATGCCACCAGCTTCCTTGGCCACCTGGGCAGCACAGTGTCAACTCATTTAAAATAATAAAATTTAAATCTATCTGAAGGCCTGTATACCAAGCTGACATTTTGTACAGAATTTAAACACAGAACAGACCCAAAAGACACACAAGTGGTTATAAATATAAAACAGTAAAACCTCACACATGTGTACAAGACCTAAGACTTCACCACCTCTATCTGGCAAAACTGAGATAAAAATACTAGGGGAAGTCATTTCACCTTTGCCGAGATTCATTTAATGAAGTATTTTTTTACTTTGTGCAGCTCTCCACAAGCTTGTCTTTCCCTGTACCACCTCACATACAGCAAACAAATGATGCCTCTGTGTCCCTGAGCTGGCTCCCAAGGGTTTGTGTGCTGAACACCAGGCTATTTGGAGTTTCAGCAAACACTGTTCTTGAACAGGCATCGAGCCCTGAATGGCACCAGCGCAGCTCACTTGTCTTCTTGTCTTTCAGGAGGATCCAGCGTCACATACACCACAGGGGAATTTTGCTCTCTAGAATTACCTGAGGGTCAATGTTTTATTTAGTTTGGTGAAATAATGAACAATTGAACTAAAAAAAAAAGCTTAGCAGCTATGGAGAAAAATCAGCTTTGCCAAGCTTTACTAATGTTATCCCCAGTCAAACTGTACTTTTACCAGGACAACTGTAGTTTGTACTTTGACCAATTAAAGATCTTTTTCATTTAGAAATGTATAGTCTTCAGCTGGGAAAGAAGAAAGACAGAAGCAAATTGCTGTAAAATATATGTGGCATTTAAAACTACACTACTAGTTTTTAATTTTTTTTTAATGTTCCAAAATCCCAGTCCGTGGTTTATGACCTTCAGGTTTAAATCTTTCACACTGTCTGTTGCAAAATAAATACTGGTATTCTTGTCTGGCAGGTTATCCAGGGATCATTCTGAGCAGTTGTTTATGCAGTCTCCTACTTGGGTCAGTTCATTTTTTACTGTTACAGTCCGCACAATGTAAAAAGAGGATTTAAGTAGAGTTCTACTCATCCTACTATTTAGGCACGCCTGCAACCCAGATATTTGGCAGCAGGCAGCACACAGAAACTTTACTCAGTAAACAGGTTTGTCCAACACAAGTTACAACCAGAGATACCAAGCAAATCAGGCCAGAAGCAAAAACAAAAACATCACAGGATTTGTTGTCCTTCTCATGCTCTGCCTTGAGAGAGCTGACAGGCTCTAAAACTGGGAGTGAGAATGCTGGGAAGGGAGGAACTCGGTTGCTCAACTTGTAGTAATTCTGCTGGACTTGACAGCACAAAGGATATGCAAAGGTAACAAGATTGAAACCAAAGGCTCCTGTTAAAAGCTTTTCTCTGACATTCTTGTGTGCTGACTAAGATCTGAATTCTCCTCTGTCTGGTTAGATACACCTATATAATGACACATTGAATTATATCTCACACTTAGAATCTGGGACGAAGAAAGTTTCCATTTTTATGAAAGTTGACCTTTAACCGTGAAATCTTTTTTTCAAAACTACCCTGCACCTGTAAAGTGACACAACTCCGAGCTCAGGTCCTATGTGGGAAGCAGAAAAACCACACAGAGCTCAGGGTGCTGCCATGTCAAGTTGGCAGGTCAGGAAACGCGACCTTTTCACACATCAGATCAACCCATCTGCCCCACTCCAGCCTGATACACAGACCACAACAGATGATGCAAATAAAACCATTCAATGTTAAGACTTCTGGAAGATTTTGCCTATGTCAGTCTAGTGGAGACACACTCATACCAGGAGAACTTTAATGACAGGAGGGCAAGTCTACACACTGAGGTTCAGCTGTATCTAAGTACAGACGCAGTCTAAGATATTTTTAACTGCACCCACAATGACAATTTTGTCAGCCTGATGAATGAGAAAAAGGTGAGGCCAGCATAAAAGTGACATGCAAATGAAATTTCAGTTGAGGCAGAAGAAGGGTCAAAAGACCTTATTCTCCCCCAAAATGACTTAACCTTGCCCCAGAAACAGGCTGTGGACAGGACTCCGAGGTAGTCACATAGGCCTACAGTTTTATGATTTTGTCTGCAAGTCACAAATGCAAGCCCATGATCCCACCCACATACCTTTCCACTTATGTACACACATCTGGTGTTTTGCATAGATGTGGGAAAAAATACTTTTGCTTCTCCCTGCATGTGGTGGTGTTTTGGTTGGACTGAGTTTTTTTAAACTGAAAAAATGGGAATACTTGGTGCATTTGGGGAGAAGTGTGGCAAGGGTGGAAAAACTTACTTTATGAGGCTCAGAGCAAATCCATGAAAAGCTGAGATGGAAAAATCCAGAGGAGTATGACAATTACCCTGTTCGGGTGGTCAAACTCTTTTGGTTCCCTTAGTTTGAGATTATCTTTCTCACTGACTAATTGTCATTATTATTTTTATCTTTCTCACTGACTAATTGTCATTATTATTTTAATTTCCTTTTTGAACACTAAATTCTGCTTTAGCAGAAACAGACTTTTGTAATGTCAACATCTGTTTTATGTTACACGGAATGGTAATTTTAAGTTAGCAATTTCTCAAATTTAAAACCAAACATGTGCTTCAGATGTTTATTTTTAAACTGCAAAGGCCTGTGTGGGGTTCTTGCCTTCACAGTACTTCTCTCTCTGTGAGTAAGTGAGGTTGCAAAGCTGCCTTTCTGAAGATGTTACACACATCTTTTTGATCACAAAAATCAGGTCTCATGTATATGGGCAAGACTTCAAAAAATTTTAAAGCAGTATTATTTATACTAGGGCTGTCACTGGTTCATAAAGAAAATGGAGGTTTAGGTACAAAGGGCTTTCTCACTGCTGTGAAAAACTACCACCACTCCAAGACAACATAGAAAGGTCTTGACCAGAAGGGTCTGTGCCCTTCAAATTCCACTTACTAACAAACTGTCATTACAAAGAATCTATATGCATGAAGATTTAATTTCCATACATTTCAATACTTGATAATGCAAGGTTTTTAGCATGAAAACCTAGCAGCAATACCTTAAACCCTAACCCAAGAGTATTCCTCAGAGCTGCATGTCTCCTCTGCCTCACCCTTCAAGTCTGTAATCTGTACTCTGAGACGTAAAACCCACCTGCTAAAACCAAGCACTGCTCCCACTACCTTAAAAATATTTGCTTCTTTTTTAAATCTAGAAGTAGTATTCATTACAAAGTTGGCCTTTTAAAACAATAATCATAGGGGTATACTACTAAAACATTCAAAGCAAATAATTTGTGAGGACTGGGGGAGTTGTTTAAAGGTCATACCTTTTTCTCATTTGTTTACTAAATGTTTTGTGCCCAAGGCCTTTCTGGCAATGAGCATAAGGAGCTATTTAGAATGTGAGAGACCTTATAAGGCTGGGCTTAGCAGGGTGGATCCAGGTGCAACAAATACACTTTTTTCTACATACACACTAACAAAGATATTTTGAAAACCACACTTTATTACAACACAGAACAAATACAGCATAATGCGTCTAGCAGGAGCAAACTACAGAACAGGAAAACAGCAATGAGTCACACAACATACATAATCCTGCCTCTAAAAAACAGGAGCAGAATCAGAGTACAAAGACATTTTCACAGTTGAGAGCTACAAAATGGTTATTTTCTGCTGCACTCATTCAGTGCTCAGTCACAAAACACCCTGTAAATTAAAAAAAAAAAAAAAAAAACACAAAAAAAACCCAAACAAAAATGTCGTATTTATCTAAAAATCATGTTTTCCTGTCGGCAATATTGTAAGGACTTATTTTCAAATCTTAAGAAACATCTTGAAAATAACTTAAGTTACATGGCAATCCAATGGAGACTGACATACAATATTCTGCCTCTTTCTAAAAGAGCGCAGGTTAAAATAGAATTAGTTTAAATACTCATCGGCACTAATGGAGACCACACAGCATTTAGCAAGTCAGTTGACACAGTCATAGTCTCAACTAGTTGGACTGCTCATAAATTGCTTAAGTATATAAAACCTAATCTAAAACCTTGAAGCAAACTTTAAAGTTACCTCAAGAATTAATATACAATGACAGGGAGAAAACAGGGATTAAGTAGGCTCCTATTACTATAGGCTAATCTCTCAGATCAAGAGTAGATCTTGCATGCTCTACTGCGAGATTTTTTCCTTTCTCTTGCTGGAATTTGTTTGAGTATTTCAGCCTGCAGACAAAGAGTAGCAAGCAAGATTTTTCAAGGATTACAGGAAAATAAAGTAATTCAAGAGTCAATATGAGACTTCATGAAGCAGATACTAATACTTAAGAGGCTTTTTGTACTGGAATTATCTACTACTAATTTAACTAAACTTAAAAAACACTCATTAAAATACATCTGGGATATTCAACAGAGACAAGTTTTTTACTGTTACAGTCCGCAGTAGAAGGTAGAAACCACAGAGGCTACAGCTGGTGTCCCTTAGAGAGCAGTGCTGGAGCAGAGCAGCAAGTTGTGACTCAGAACACACCAAAGTGCAATTCTTTGTTCCCTGGTTGCTCCTCACACACTGCACTCGCTGTCACAGCAGCCCAAGCACAGCCACACACAGAGCTACACTGCAGAGGGCAGCTACAGCCTGGACACGCACACAGACAGGAGAGGAAACTGAAGTAGGAATACAATCCAAACAAATTCTGGACAGGCATTACCTGAATCAAACCTGAATCATTACATGGCTATCATTAACTGAATCATTACCTGGCTATCAAACAATCCCAACCAGGATGCCGGGTCAGTTCCTATGAAGAACAATAAATAACAACTCTCTGCTCTTAGGACTTTAGTTTCATGTATTTGGGAATCACCAACTGTGACACATTTACTGAAGGAAATGTAACAAAACCTCCAAAATACCAAAGCACTATTTTGTCCCTTTTAATATCCCTGATTTATATTACTGCAATTATTTCTAACACAATTAGTTTAGTGTGCGTGCCATTAACTCAATGACAGAGCAGCAAGCATCAAAGTTTTCCCCCTTTCTGCCTTCTAGACAAGTCAGCCCTCCAAAGTCCCTTAGATTTCTCTTGCTACACTTAAGATTTCTGTCAACCAAATTCTAGAAGCAGAAGACAACAAACAGTACATCCTCAAACATCCATCACCTACAGAAAAGCTCTCAAGCAGATCAATCACAAACTCACGAGGAAGATATTTGTGTAGCACTGTATAGATTAACCTAGTTCTATTTTAGGTTACTCCAGCCACTCCTGGCTGCGACAACAAAGCGCCTTCTCTGCAATCACGTTTTTAACCCCTCAAAAAAGAAAAAAAATATTAAATGAAGCCGACTTTTGAAACACATTCCTCCCACTCCCCTACCCCAAAAGCCTTCAGAGCAAGCTGGAACCTTGGCACCTCGTGCCTGAACGGAGTCATACTGCACCGGCCGGGTGGCAGGGGCCGTAGCTATGCTGGCCGCCTCTCCCCAGGCAACTGGAAACACCGCCTGATCCTCAGCGTGGGAAGATCTGAGACGCGAGATTAGCGGAGAAGGAACTCCAACCACACAACAGCGTCTGCCCCGGCTACTGCCGCGCTAAAACACGCGCTCTGCTCCCCACAGCGTGTGGCTGCGGAGGTAACATCTCTGGGAGGACAATGGGTGAGGAGGAGTGTCTGCAGGACAGGCTGACACGGCCGAAGCCCGCACCGGACCCGGGCCGGCAGGGCACGGGCGCTGGGTGTGGGTGAGCGCGGCTCGGCCCGCGGAGCCGCTCAGCCGGAACCGGCTGAGGACACGGGGGCATCTCCCCGCTACAGGGCACTTCCTGACGGCCAGAAATACGCACAAACGCCCCCAAGACCTAAAAGCGCCAACAACAAGGCAGGATTTACCCTCGCTTATACAGCATGATTTCAAGGCCGGTGTCCGGCGGGTAAGTGCCAGCCCCGCCGCCCCCTTACCTCGGGCCGGGCCCGGGCTCCCGCCTCTCCCCTTACGGGCAGAAGGGTGCGGGGCTCCGGGCCGGGCGGCAGGGCCGTTCCACGCCCGCATGCTGCGGCGGGAGGCGGCCCGGGCTGGGGCCGCTCGGCCGCCGGCGGGCAGGAGCGCCCCGCACACCCGCCCCGCCGAGGGACCTCGCCGGGCACCGGGGGAGCCCGGCCCGGGCACCTCCAGCCCGGCCTCAGCCGCGGCGGAGGACGCGGAGCTGCCTCCCCGAGCCATGCGCGCTCCCCAAGCGCGCCCCTACCCCTTGGCGTGCTCGGTCTCCTCCTCATTGTCGCCGTCTATGCCGCAGGTGTCCTGGTCATCCAGCTCCAGGCTCTGCTGGCTGGCCGCGGACTCGCTGTCCTCCGCCATCACGGGGGAAGGAGGAGGGAGGGAAGGGGCGGGGGAGCCTGTGAAAGAACCGGGGCGCACGGGCAGACGCGGTCCGGAGCAGCTCCCTCTAGCTGCGGTCCTTCCCCGCGCCAAGCCGGGGAACGAGGAGGCGGCGGCCGCCGGGGCTGCCCGGCCGCTCCCGCCACCCGCGGGGAGCGGGGCGGGGCCCTGCGGGGAGCGCTCCGCGCCCTGTCCCGCCCGGCCCTGCCCTGCCCAGCCCGGCAGAAGCTCCAGGACTCAAAATGAAGCTCTATGAACAAAATTTGCTGCTGGTGGAGGCTGCTGAGGCCACCAGGACAATCCCAGAACTGTGGATGGTGGGCACTCATGGCACTTGCTCTTTTCCTAATGCCTTTTGTATTTCTACAAGCTCCATGCTAGAAAACCTGGAATTTAATGGTAATGATTTATACCCAGGAAATCAAATAAAGAGCACCTTGTGTTAAGTATTTGAACTGTCATTTCCAGGGTCATATCAAGCTTTCTGAATGAGATCCAGAATTTCTAAGTGCTTGGTTTGGCAGTTTGGCTGCCAAACAGCCCATTAAAACATAAGAATAGGGTGCATCAGTTGTAATTTCTCCTTATCTTTGCACCCGTGAAAGCAATTTACTGTGAGGAAGCTATTGCTTCTGCCCTATTTAAGGTTTGATCTGGATTACTTTTTTCCATTTTTGATTTGAAGTGACATCATATTTTGCTCTGTCGTGTATTGCAGGTGACATGTCAAGTAAAAGATCTTGCTGGCCAAACAGAAGAAAGCTAAATGTCCTTCCAGCTGTCAGACTCTGATCCTCTGTGTACTGAGCACTAGCCTGGGGCCACCCTTCATCCCACTGCAGTTGGTTCTTTACAACTTGTGAGTTGCCACAAGAACTTGTAATTCAAACACATGAAATGGAATCTGTAATTTACACTTGGCCAAGTAGGACCTCCCAGTGTCAAGCCCATCGCTGTAGTTTAGAGGGAAAATGTATCTATCATGTCACTCCACTTTGAAATGACCTTTAGGAGTAAACCTTCATTCAGTTGTAATGCACAGGAGAGAAATCTCAAAACAAAGGCACAATTCCCAATAGTTTTCAATAACAAAAAGCAATTGTAAAGTTGTCCTGTAGCCTGGAGAGAAGTTAATCCAGTGATTATGAATTATTTTTTCCCCCTCATGATAATGTGTAAGAGGAAGTGAAGAACAGTAGGTCAATGACTAAACTGCTGTATTGAATCACTCTGTTGGAGAAGCTGTAAAATTCACTGTCTTCTTTCCTTTACCACAATTTTCCTCATTTCGTTGAGACAAATGGAGTAGAAGAGGCCTGGATCCTGACTCTCCTGGCATTTCATACTGTCATTTAAAGAGGCAATATGAATTTCTCCCAGCAACCTGCCCTGCTAGGCATTCTCCCTGGAAGGGGGACTATAGCTGCAGAATGGCTGCTGTTCTGTACTTTGTAGCATGTGTGAAGTGAAGAATAACCTTAAGCACAGTGCATTTGATATCCTGAGATTATTATCCAGGTTTGACCATTGCAAGGTCAAAGGACAGCACTGGATTGTGCTTTGCATTCCATGAAAATGTAACTTTTGCTTATAACACAAGTAGAGAAGTTCACCAAAAGTGAGAGTTAAGCATCTGTCCTGCGCTGTGGATTTCTGAGGTAGCTTTGCATTTCTGAAATTATGAGACATATTCCCAGAGCATTTAAATTCACTCTGCAGACACTGCTCAGCAGTTACATTACTTGACACATGCTGGCTGTCACATGTGTAGTTGTCCTCTGAAAATAGAGCAGCAAAGTAAAAAAATGTATCTTTGAATTTCAGGACCCCAGATGCTCAGCCACAGAGAGTTTTTGTAGTATGAAACATCAGGACAACAAGCAGCAAACATGGTACCTGCAGTGCCCAAAAAGGCTCCCTGTGGGCATCTGTACTTCCAAAATCTTTGCTGTTGCTCGTGGGTATATCCAGGAACTCCCCAAAATGCTGCATGCCAGTACTGCAGACAACCCACAGATTCACACCAGTCTAAGCAGACATCAAAAACCATCAGAAATGTTTAAACTTAACCAGGTAAAGAGCTTGTGTTTTTAAAGGTGCAAACTTACTGTTTTTAATTGATAAAAAAGACCTCTTCCTAGATGTACAGGGAAGATAAAAGGCAAAAGCCTTTTATTTTATGAAAATTGAAAAGAAGAAAGCACAGTAATTTTGCACAAAAGCTGAAAAGTTATTAACAAAGGAAAATAGACTTCCTTTGCAGGAGATACACTTCACTTAATACTAAATGGTATATCATGAAATCAGTTAAAGTATTTGTGGCATGTCATGAAGTATTCATCAGTTGGGTATTTTCATAGGTCTCCTTAGAGCTTTAGTAGTGACTCTTGGTGTGCTGCTAGATGTAGACAAAATACCCAGCTGCTTATGGCAACAAATTGGAAGAAAGGAAGAGAGAAAAGCAAATAAATTACTTCAGATCTAGCTCTGCCTTGTTGCTCCCACTAAAGTCAGCCACCAAAGAACAGAGCAGTGTGTAGGGGACCCACCACACCACCATAAATCTCAGCTTTCTGGCTCTTTCCCCATTCTGCCTTCCAGGTTGTGTCTCTCCCAGTTCTCCGTAAGAGAGGCAGTCCAGGTTCTGTCATGGCTACACAAAATTAACCAGTGTCTACAATTCAGAGATGCTTTTGAGCCTCGTCAAACACATGTATGAGCATAGGTCCAGCTGCACAAATGGACTTTGCCATTGCTGTGTTTAACTTTTTCCTAGCTGACTCCCAGAGGAAACTCCAGGACTCAAAATGAAACCCTACAAGCACTCAAATACTTTGGGCATCTTGGTGGCCAGCATGAGTTCACAAGAACCCCAGGTCACTGAGGGAGGAGCCATCTCTGCTTGGCAGTAAGAAATACTGGGAATAGGGAAGCCTAAATTCCCAGTACAGGAACTGGATGAACCATCAGGTGAGACTGTGCAGTGTGTGGGCAGGGTTTACCATGCTTCTCCTTGCTCTTCTGTGACTGAATAAAGCCAGCCAGGCACAGGTATTGTTTCTCTCAAGCAGCCAGGCATAACCCAGACTTGTTTACCTGCCTAGCACCACATCAATTACATCCAGTGAGCTGGTGATATATAATCCAGCATTCAGGCTATTGGCATCATCTGGTTAGTCTATGTGTTTTGATTATTAAACACTGCAAAAGAAAAGTATCTAAAATTTTCATGCAGTCATAGGACTGCTCCTGCCTTTACACACAACATTGAAATATTCATGGCATTTATAATTTTAAATGGATTTGCATTGCAAGTAACAACTTGGTGTTAACATTTTTAATCTTGTAAATTGGAAGAAAATAGGTCCAATTTGAAAATTAGCTAGTATTTTAGTGTTTCCCCTGTTTTTCTAATTAACATTAAAAAAGTTATTGAACAAACATTTATTTAGACTTTGGTTCATTCAAGTGTCTACTAGTACTACCTCATATTTTTTTTTTTCTAATTGGCTGCTCTTTATGGTAAAACTTAAATACTGTCTTCCTAAATTCTGAATGAGAGGCAAGTGTAAAAGAATAAGATTGAAAAGAAACAGAAAAAATGCACCAGAACACTCTGCATAGTTGTTACAGTTAACAACAGCAGAAATGGTTAGGGAAGGAAATGAGCTTGTGATCCCACATTTTGCACACCTGTATCCATGTGAGATCACACTTCTATATTTATGGTTTGTCTGACCCACTCTACCTCTGTTCAGCCCCTCCTGCCTACCCTGCCTGGGGAGCTGCAGACTTGCCTGTTTCCGCAGCCTGCTTGCTGCTGGCCTGTATTGGCTGCAGTGCTCAAACTGGGGACAAGCATTCTCAAAGCATCCCGTTCTTTCTGCTGCACTCTCTTTCAACTTTATAAAATTCTATTTTCAAATGCAGCTCGTACCTTATCCCTTCTATTTTACAGCTTACCTTTGCACAGAACCATCTACTTCTCCATGCTGGTGTCTGCATTGGCAAGGGCTGTGGGCTCCACAGTACTGAAGAGGGTTAGGCATTAACATGCATAGTGAAAACATAGCAGAGCATTAAAAAATGTGAATGATAAATACAAACCTTTGTGCTTAAAGGTATGAGTGATAAGGATAGAAAGACTGTTATTATTGCCAGTAGAGATTTCAATTCTCCAAACCATCTGTTTTTGGTGATTGTTGGTAGCAGGATGTAAGGCTTACATCAAACACAGGTTCAGACAGGTTCCAGCACTGCTCAGTTCCTCAGATCCTAGAGTCTCAAGACCCAAAAAGTAAAAAAACCCAATAATAAGAGCCGACAATTAAATAATTATTCCAAATATATAAATATTTTGCCTTTTTATGTCTATTTTTATTCTGAGACCCTTCTCAAACTATGTATGTGAATGAGAATTAGTGGTGACAGAATTTTTAATAAAGACAGTGTTGACACAGGTACTGCAGGAGCTCTGACTGATACTCAGCAATTACTTCTGCCCATCCAATCTCCAAATCAATCCAATTTACTCCCATCAGCTCTGCAATCAGTTCTCCCACTAGCCTTTTACACTTCCCCCTATCAATGTGCCTGCTGTTTCCTTTTCTTTGCAGGGAGGCTGCAGGTACAGCCAGGATGCTTTATTTCCCTCATTCTGAATGAAGGGAGTGATAGATACATTAATTTTTCTTTATCTCTTGACCATTTCAATAGTTTTTCCAAAACTTATATTTTTAGAGTTTTCTTTTTGCCTGTTTCAGATAGTTGTTTACCCACGAACAAAAATAACTTCCTGTGACAGATGTGCCTTCTGGGTGGTTAGAAACAGATTAACAGCATGTTTCAGGATGCACACCTATGGCATGGAGAATTACACTGAATTAGGAAGTGTCTTATAGACATAGTGTCTTTCCTATGAAAACCATGAAAAATCAGACTCTATTATAACTCTTCAATTTCTATGCAGAGTTATTTTACATTTTACAGTAAGATTTTACCCTTCAGAATTTTACAACTTTGCACAAAAGACTCTGTCAAATGTGCAACAACTGCAGAGTAACTTACTTAAAATATAGATTCTAGACAAGCTTTAATCACAAAATTTATACATCAGGTCTAGGCTAGAAGGCAAGTGTGAATAAATCTCTTGGAAGTTGGAGGTACAGCAGAAACTCAGCATCAAGCATGGTTTTGACCCTGCAATATCAGACCACAAGGACAATTAAGTTAATTAATACAAGCCTTTATGGGCTCTCATGCTGGTTCTTCCAGTCAGTCTGGGCGAGCAACCCTCACTTTGTCATTACTTGATGTTGAAATGGTGAAAGTAGTATTTAAGCCAGCTTTTATATCCAGTGCACTTATATACATACATGTGAATGTGTATCCATGCATGCACACACACACTTATCTAAGCATACTTTCAAGGATTTCAAGGAATGAAAGACCAATCCAGCTGTCAAGAAAAATACACTTCTCATTGGGGGAACCTGGCTATCATGTTTTGCTTCTCTCATTTTTATTTTATTATTTAATGCAGGATTGCAAGGTGTTAAATACGAGTTACAGCAAATAGCATAGATAGAAAGCAAGCTTGCCCTCACCAAAACCTAGAAGTAGTTTCACTGAAAAGTCTAATCTTAGGATGTCACATTGTATGTCCCACTGATGTGTGGCCTCACAGCATGACACAAAACTTAAAGCAGAATCAGAGAGTTGGGTTTATAGAAGGGGCATTCCGTGAAGAGAGAGGAGACAGAAGCCGAGGCCCATAGCTTCTCTCATCTCCAAGCTTTTTAAACTTCCTACAACCAGTAACTCAATAAAACCCCTTAAAAAACAGTGCTTGTAACAGGACCCACTTTAAATAAATTCTTTCAGTTTTGATGCCCAATCTCTCTTGCAAGCAGGACCAGTCGTTCCTTTCAAAGCAGCATTATTTTAAGAACCTTTTCATCCCTTTATAATATAAAACTGTCAGGAGCATTCCTCTGTTTGGTTTATTGAGGAGTCTGTCTTTCTAGTCATGTGAACACGAAGTCCTTCTCTACAGAATTACAAAAATAACCTGTAAACAAGTATTTCATTTGTACCTCCCTGTTGTCATCGCATTTTCCTTCCCTGTGCCTGTAAGTTTCTAAGGCAGAATAGCTATTTAATGATCAAACAAACTAACTGGCATTGTTCATTGCTAGAAGAAAAGCACATCAATAAAACAAGAAATAGTTCAGTGATAATAGACCAGGTGCCACAGTTTGCAAAGTAATTACCTGTGGATACCAGGGGACTGCAGCTGAAAAGAACTAGATACCCTTTCTGCTATTACTGACAAATAGAAGACAGTACCTGGTCTCAATTTAACAGCTGGAATTACATGAGTAAATGTAATAAAAAATACTCTACTCTGAAAATTGCACTTGACAGCTGCCTGTTTGTTCACCTGAAGCTCCAATTCCAATTGATTTACAGCATGGAAATGAAAACAGCACATATGATGAAAATATAGTGTATGTATGTATCAATCATGATATAACACACTATTATATATATTATAAATCATGTGTGAATGTGTGTGTATATATACACACAGACACAGAGAACAATAGTAAGGTTAGCATTATGAAGCATTAGTGTTGAACCTGCCAGTTTTTTCTGTCTGTTAGCAGAGGAACAGGAAAGAATAATGGAGGTGCTCCTATTTTCCTCAACTTTGGAAACAGCAGTTAAATTTGGTTTTATTTTATTTATTCTAAAGCCAAGGTGCTATTCACAAGGCAGAATACAGAACCATCAGTGATGATGAATTTTGATTTGAATGGAGATGTCATAAGCTGAATACTCTCCCAGCAAAGAGGCTGGGCAAGGTCTCTCAGCTGACAGGGATCTCTGCTCTTGGACTGACAGCAGGCCCAGGAAACTACTGATGATTCTGTTCCAGCTGCCTACTGGTGCTACTGAAGTTGTTAACTGTGCTTTTATTGAAATTATAAACTTCCTCACACACAGCACGACTGGAGAAGCAGTTCACCACCAGGTGGCAGATACCACAACATGAATTTCAAATGCTGGAGAGACCAAACGGCAGCACTGATTCAGAGAAACCCTATTTGTTGCACATGTATTTTAGAAAAGTAAACAAACACTCTCCTTCTTTGACCAAGTCCAAGGTTGTACTGCATGGACTCTACTATGCTCCAAGTTACAGACTATTGATAGCTGATTACTGTGTTACAATAAATTTTAATTCCCAGATGAATCTTGTTAAGAAAAAAAGCCTTTTTGGTTCACTACAGACCTTCCTAGAGTAAGAGTAAATATCTCATCCAACACTTGCTCATTTATACCTGTACTATTTATAGGCTAAAGTCTACATAGGACATTTGATTTCTTACCAATTTCAAACATATTGGTTCAGAATAGTGAGATAAAATTGGTCCCTGAGAGCATTCATGAATAGAATGAAGGGCAGAAAATTAAAATATTGCCAAGGCATTTCAAGAGTTCTTAATTCACTCTACTAAAGCTACTCAGTCCTCCCTGTAACAAAGAAAAGTATTATGAGCATTTCCAAATGCTGGGCCTTCCTTTGTCATCTGTTCATCTCAGATCAGAAGCACAAGTTTCTATAATTTGTCTAATATGTTAGATTGCAAATGCTCCGAGGCAGTAACCAGTTTTTGTCCCTGTATTTGCAGAGAGTTTAGCATGCTGGCACCCTGACAAAGCACTCAATCAAATAGTAAGAGGTCATTATCACAGTAAGTCAAGGTGCTCTAGAGATAGTTTAATAAGCTTTGAGAAGCAAGTATTTGAGCAAGAAGAGAGTGGGAGCTGAGGGACAACCATGAACTCTTAATGAGTGTATTAACTCCCAACAGTGCTAAGATTGTCTGTGATATAAATGAACTTGAAATTTCAACATTTGTTTCTAGTATTTTTTTAAGACAAACATATTTTCATTATTTTTGTAAGCTTTGTCATTACAAACTTGCATTTTTTCCCTACTAATATCTGCCATCATAAAATAAGAAAACAGTTGCTTTTCTAGTTTATCTTCTATAGACTTGGAGCTGCTGATGCCAAGACCTATTCAAGTTATACTTTGTTGTTTGTGTTTATAAGCTTTATTAATACTTGCTTCACTGTGCAAGTACAACATAAAGCAAGAAAATGTCTTTGTATTTTACTGATGTATCTGCGTCAGTAAGTTTTTGAAAATTAAAACACAGAATTTATCACTGGACTTTTAGATTAGGCACAACATAGTCTAATCTTAATCTGTTACCTGAACTGCTTTAACTCTGTTCCAGCTTCATTTAGCATATGGCCCAGGTGTGGATATAGAGAACTTCACTTCATAAACTATGTATTTTGCAAAATTAAACTATCACACCAATTAAAAAATGCTATTTTAAAGAAGATTTGAAACATACCCACACTGTGTTTGTTCAAGTATATTTGCTGTATTAGAACCACAAATCATCAAATGAACATAAAACCAACACAATTAAAGAAACAAACCACTGCAATTTAATAGCAACAATCTCACTTTACAAGATAGCAATGATGGAAACTTTGCAAAGGAATGTGAAAAAATAATGTAATTAAAAATGACAGATTTAAGACAACATAAAACTGGAAATTAAATAGCACAATAATTCTAGTATGCGGAAATTTTATTCAGAATGTTTACTTATGCAGCATTCTGATTAATAAGTGACACTGTATTACCAGCACTTACTGACATCTGATAAATACTATGCCCTTAAACTTGTATTTTTCTGTTTAGTGACCTTGCACAAACTGACAATAAGTAAGCCAGAGCCCAAAACCAGTTCACAGGTGGTCAGTACAAAATTCCTAAACAGAACAGGAAAGGACCTGCCACATACACAATGAGTAAAATGTAATTTAGTGCTAATATGGTGATTTCAATATTCAGTGCACTCCACAATATTTCAGATTCCTTTTACAACATATACCACTTTCAAACATGAACCAAAGCAAAAGGTGATCTGGCTTTGTAGATGGAAAGGAGCATTGACCTGGGAACTAGGAAATCTGGATTCAACTCCTGGCTAGAGATCAGGTTCCCAGGTAAGACATAGAGTAATATGGAAATTACAAGACTCACTTTCTATGAAAACCTTGCAATTTACTGAAAATAAAGCTATGAATGTGAGTTGGGGCTTATAATTACAAATTAAATAGGAACTATATAGCACTTAAATTACTTTGGAGATTACGTATTAACTTTAGTAAGCATGACTGCTGCTAATCTGCATAAAAATAACTGAATGAAACATGATAAACTGAATGCATATGAAGGATTCCACAAAAGTGGAAGTCACAAACTTCCTCTTCTTTGAACCCAATTCATGAAAAAGTGAGAAGAGTGCAGTAAGTGTGAGTACCCACAGAAATCTCAGAAAGAAAACTGGCCCACAGGAAGTGTGACTCCACAGGAAATTTTGGTGATACCAGGATTTCATTTCTAATGTCTTCAGTGATACTTAAGCAAATTATTACGTATTTATCAAGATAATGATAAATATGCAGGATGCTTTTCTGAAAAGGGGTCCAAATTTAATTATTGACTGAAGCTCATGAGACCTGCAAAAAAAAGTAAGTCACACGAGCATAAATATGCACAGGAAAAATGAAACCAAAGTATTTTTCTTTTTAAATACCGTAAAATAATGTGATGACCACTTAGAGAGGAAAAAAATCCACAAATATACTTTTTGCAGTTTATTTTCAATTATAATTTTTGGATAACCAAGCAGCTCTGTATGGAAAAAGCACAGAAGAGTAATTCTGGCACTTTTGGATAGTACATTTGTTTTTACCCCAAATTTTTCTAGACACATTCAGTCCACTTGCTCGGTCGATAGTCCATTTTATATGAGCATGATTAGCTCATGGGATTCCAGAGGAAACTAACAATATATACAGTCAATGAAACTATCTTCTTGGCTACTCTGGGCCCTTTAAAATGTCTTCTAAGTCTATCCTGGCTAAACAGAATCCACAATATACATGATAGCTACAGAATACACTGTATTGAAATGAGAAATGCTCAGCACAAAATGGGACTCTTGGCATGCAGCTTAAAATAAAAGGTAGAAGTTCAGAAGTTTATAAAATCTCAAATGGGGTCAATTAAAAGGACTTAGCAAAAGAAGGGACTGTTCATTGTTACTGTAAAAAAGGCACTTTGAGAAAATGGTACCAGAATTGGAGGAATCTTAGTCGACACAAAGTTCAGTTTGGTTTCATAAAAAGGCTTCAATGCTAAGGGATGCTACTCAAGTTTCCTGCAGTTGTACATTAAAATAAATTGCTGAGTAGTTTATAATAAAGGACATAATATGTTTACAACCAACTCGTAAAATTAAGAAAAGCATAGTATAAGCAAAATATTACTAAAAGCAGCAATGCATAGCCTTTCATTGAGATAATGCACAATTGTGGACACCATGTGTCAAACTCCTGTTTTTAAGATACTTTCAGTAGCATTATCAACATAAAATTGGCCTACAAAACAAAAGCTTTACCAGCTCCCATTCATAAGGAGATTGAGGTCATAAACCAACCAAAACAATTTGTCAGTATTTTCAACATCCTGGATGACCAATATCAAGTATATGGAATAACAATCACACTCTTTGTTCAGCTATCTCACTGGAGGCAGCTGTTAAATCAGAGGAATGATTTTAATTCTTTTCTAACATTTACACAGTAATGCATTTAAGTTCTTTCAAATGTTGCTCACCACAGTTTGTTTTTCTCTTTTCTCTCCACAATATAAAAAAAAAAGAAGAAGAAAAAAAGAAAAAAAATATCAAGCACTTCCACAGAAAGGATATTTGGCAATTTTATACTCCACTGAAGGGTGGATTTTCACAATAGCTCATTTTAGATTGAAAGTCATTAGTGGTCTTTCCTCTCGTTTCTGCCAAGGACTCTTCTTATCTTCACCTTGGTCATCTTCCTCATCCTCCTCATCTTCATCATCATCATCTTGAACGGATGTTCCATGTTCAGGACTAGTTAATGGCTCTGGTTTGGTATCCACAGTTCTGGTTTCCTCCTGCAGGCTGGGCAGCTGCACACCACTTCTCTTACTGGTGCCTTCTAGGAGGCATCGGAGAGCATTGTCCTCAGGGCTGCAAACTGCTGTTCCACACTCGCTGCCACTTTGGTCCATATCATCCAAGTACACGAGCTGTGTGTAAGCTGTGCTGTCTGAAACCTTCCGCTCTCTCTGCTGGTGCTCCTGCACTGGGGGGTGACTCTGTGGCGCAGACAGATGATCTCCTCTTCCCTTTCGGGCAGATTTCGGTTCATTCATGTCAACGCCAGAGTCCAAACTGGCATCGTTACTCCCGTTCCTACCAGCTCTTTGGAGATCAATGTATGAATGTCTAACGTG